ATTTGTGCGGTTAAATTGCTGATATATTGTTGCATGATGAATGAAAGTAACTTTTAACGTTAGGTTAGGTTAGGTAATTACGTGTTTCGTATTCGAGTGAACGAATATTTATTTGTTTAGATTTTTATACGTTCTTCATCAAATATTAGCTATCGCCGAATTAGATGCACTATTTAAGGATATTCTGCGTTACTTTGTATCATAGCTTCACGACTAGAAATACAGTCGCTTCAAGTTTGATTCTACTCTTTCTATAATTATTCCAAATCATTTTAAAAGTTACAAATTTACCTCGAGCTATTCAAATTTAAATTTTTAGGTTAAGTTAGACTAGGTAAATTTAAATTTGAATTTTGAGGTTAGGTTAAGTTAGTTAAATTCAAGTTATAGGTTAAGTTACGTAAATTTCAATTTCAATTTAAATTATAGGTTAAGTTAGGCGTATTAAAATTTATATCACTTTTATTAAAATGATTATTATTGTAAAAATGACCAATGTAGTAAAATACATCTACTATTCACTCGAAGATATTTGTATCAACGAAGGAAAGTTATTAATTCACTGTGAATGATATAATTGCATATAACACACCATATCGGTCAAATTTTCTCTAACCAATCGTTTTTAGTATCGAAAGAAAAAAAGCAAAGAAATTTGAATGGTGCTTCTGCGTGTGGATGTTACGCAAGGAGGGATGAAAAAATTGGAAACAGAAGGTCTGCAAGACGTTGGAGCATCGTCGGTGGCAGATATTTATCTGTTATTGTGATCAGAGGGCAGGGTAACCGCAGAAGAAATCGTTCTCTGCGAAACGAGCTGTCGATAGCAGTGCTCCGGGGTCGTTATTCCCATGTTCCTTGTCGTTGGATCTTCTTCGTTTGATCTTTTTTCATCGGTAGGATCCTTTCTTGTCGTGCGTCGATTACCTTTCGACAACCCTGTCTGAGATGCTTCGGGAAAAAGTCGAGAAACTTTTTAGAAAGAGAGTTCAAGCTTGTAGGAACACAGTAACTTCGCTGATGTTACTTTTTCAAAAATAGTGTATTGGAATTCTACTCGATTTTTCCCTTAGATGCAGAATTTCATCGATAATTTCGAAAACTTGGTGTGGAATTTATGCGGAATATTTTATTTTGTGGAATTTTGAAAGGGGTAGTGTCGCGATTTGAAGTAATCGAATGATCTTTGAGGATTTAAAGAAAAGTGAAGAAAATTCTATTCGAGTTTTTACTTAGGTGCAGAATTTTATTGATAGTTTTGAAAACTTAGTGAAACTTTTTTGTTTCTAATTTTTTTATAGGTTAAAGTGTCACAATCTGCGGTAATTGAAAGATCTCTGAGGATTTAAGGAAAATTGAAACCTTGCTATAATGCACGAAGATAATTTGCCAAACGCATTTGCGTTATCGTCACACTTTGCACTATCGATAATTAAGAAATAAAATTTACGACAGATGCTGTAAACTTGTTTTCCCGAGAAGGATGATAGATTGACGCATTCTCAAGTTTCCTCTGACCAATCCGCGAGAAGTATAAAGTACTATACATTCATAATTTCTTCGTCTGCTAACTTTTCAAGTAAAATTCTAGAAGTCTTTTCTGCCGTATCTCAATTTTTCAAAATTCTTAATTTAGAAAATTCACGACCAGAATATTACAAAAGAATGAAAGTTTCGATTTCGAATGAAAAAAGAAGCAAAATTTTCGGCAAAATGGAAATTTCTATTTTAAGGAAAAAAGTAGACAAAATTTTCGGCAAAATGGATTTTTCAAATTACCACGGAAACAGTGAAATTTCACTTTAAAAATATAGTACCCACATATCTTACGGAATAAAGAAGAAATTATATTGCTGAGTAAATATTAATAAATGTATTATTTTCTGTTAATTCAAAAACGGACAGAACTTTCCGGTAGACCTAATATAACTCTTTTCTGTGGAAAGATCGACGCAGCCCAAAATAATTTAATGAATTCAAGTTTCTTCGATTTCTCGTAATCACCGGCCCAAATATGAAGTTCCCTTACTTACTTAAAAATCGACACAAATTTCCCCGACAGCGTTACATTACCCGCAAGAAGAGATGAAAACCCAACGGCACTCTTGCTGCCTTTTGTACGTCCACTCTTTAATTAATCGTTTCAATTACCGCGGGTGGCCTATTCGCGGGATCAGTTCACGTGATCGTGAAGAGGCGGTTAGAGGATCGGCGGGCAATTTGTCGAGGGCGATAAAACGCGGCGATAAGCGAGTGTCCAGAATCGCGAGGACGATTCCGGAAGATGGAAAGATTAAGAAGTGGAACGCTCGTCGAGGACGGTTTTGCAAACGAGCCGCTTTAACTAGACGGCTCCCAAGGGTAACTATCTGAACGTGGAAGCGGGATACGTGTGTACCGATGACAATTAAGATACTGCCGTTGCTCCTTCGTCGACCAGTTCGCTGGTCGTTTGGAAAAGGAATCGGTTCTCCGCACGCGTTATACATACGGATCTCTAAGCGCCGCTTGCGAGACCGTATTTCGCCCTCTAATTTAGGCTACTCCTTCGGAGGAAAATCATTTCCTCCGGTCGGTGATGGGATCGAGGATTGGAACAGGTGATACCTCGTTGTTCTTTTTAAATGGTAGTACTTCTGCAATTTTTTCCTGATTTTTGTCGTTTTTTTTTTGTGATGGATGTTTCGACGCGGGAGTGAAATTGAGGATTTTTTTGTATGGTAATGGTTTGGTAGTATTGACAGAGTGACGGAGCAATGTTTGTACGTCGATTTTTGGAAAATAGGTAGGAATATTAAGTTCTCGATTTTGTCTAGCTTTTGTCAATTTAGGAGCAAAGTAGGTAATGTACTGTATTAGCTGTGGTGTTTGTGTGGTAATGTTTTGATAGTATTGATAGAGTGACAGAGCAATTTTTGTACGTCGATTTTTGCACTCGGAGGTGATTTTGCTGTAGAAAAGGTTGCAAATCGGATGTTTGAGATTTTTTCAAACTAACGTAGAAATAAAGTATACTATTTTATTTAAATATTCAATGCATTCTCTATTTCACCGTGGTGAAGAAATTTATGGAGGCCCATAGATCTGTTCTCTGTCTTCGTTAATTATTTACCAAGTGACGATTACCACTCGATTGCAAACGGTTCAAGTTCTCGATTTTGTCGAGCTTTTGTCAGTTTAGGAGCAAAGTAGATAATACACTGTGCAGTGAAAAGTTTGGGACCACTGTGCTTTGCAGGGTGAGTAAGAATTTTAGAAATTGAAGAAAATTTTAGGGAAATCTTTTGTTAACCAAATTTATCAACTTATCAGTGAGCAGTGCAACGTTGATTGGAAGTTTGTTAGAAAATATAGCAGATTTGAAATTGGTGTAAATTTAAAAGTGGTCCCAAATTTTTGAGTGTATTTGAGAATCAGGAAAGTGACCGTTGGAAGTCGTAGATAAGGAAAGAAACATTTGTTGATGTTCGAAACCTTCGAAGTATTTCCTGGTGATAAACAAATGCTATCAGCTCCTCGAATTAGTCAGCTATCTGCGTTCGGGACACTTTGCATGCATACGTAGCGCTCGACACATTCCACGAACAGATCTCACAACACGAAAGCAGAAACACAGGCATTACATCTTCCTGAAGGTTCCATATTAGACGATTTGCTGAGTAGAAACGAATTCAGTCTTGTTTCTGTTCTCGTAGAATATGGGTTCGTGACGATTATCTGTATATCTTTGTATCTTAATATTTCTGTATTTGCGTATTGAATATTTTTTAATATTTGGTTCGATACTAGAATGTATTTACTACTATATTACTATATTTCTACATTTTAAATGTTTCTATATCTTCAATATTTTAATATTTCAATATTCCCATATTTCAGTACTTTTATATTTTAACGTGGAGCTATTACTAATTTCCATATCTTTACATTTTAAATATCTCTATGTCTTCAGTATTTCAATATTTCAACATTCCTATATTTCAATATTTCTATATTTCAATATTTTTATGTTTTAACGTGGAAATATTACTAATTTCTATATTTTTACATATTAAATATCTTTGTATCATCAATATTTCAATATTTCAATATTCCTATATTTCTATATTTCAATATTCCCATATTTCAGTATTTTTATATTTTAACGTGGAGCTATTACTAATTTCCATATCTCTACATTTTAAATATCTCTATATCTTCAATATGTATTTCAATACTTCAACATTCCTATATTTCAATACTTCTATATTTCTATAGTTTAATAATAAATTACCGTATTCCCGTATTTTAATATTTCTATATTCCCACATTCCCATATTGTAATATTTTTACATTCCCATATCTCCACCCTTCCACATTTCTCCATCCCTTCCCCCTCCCATCCCCCTCAAACCCCCAAAAAACCGCAAATCCCCATAAAAAGGAAAAAAATCATCACAATGCAACCCTTTCGTTGCCAAGCTCGACCGTAAACCTAACCCTGGCGTGCGGTACCACAATTCTTCCCCCTTTTCATCCTCACCTCTATATACATATACATATGTACATACTATTCACGTTGAATGGCTATGATCGTTCTCCGCACGCCCAGGATCGGCAAATCATTCGAAAGGATACGGAATAGGAAATGGAGTGTGTTGAATGAGGAATCGAACATGTTTTCAGGGAGGGCGAGGGTGGCGGCGGTGGCGGCCGTTCCGTGACCAGCGCTGGTGGGGGTGGAGGAGGAGGTGGAGG